GTGCTCTTCCGATCTCCCCAAAACCCCAAAACCCCATTCTAGTTAGATTATTTTATCATAGTAAATTATCTAATTAAAATACAATACCCTATTTTAATTACTAAGTATTCTCATAGTTATCTTTACATTCGGTCAGTTTAGTTCGATTATTTTACTAGTTTAACTAAGAAGTCCTTTCTTTTATCAACAAGTTTATTCTTATATATGATATAATTGATTTCCTATTAATTGGAAGCCTAAAAATCAATCAATTCCTCGTCCTAGATCAATTCAAACTGTACAAATTCTGACTTGTTTAAGTTAATGCAGTACCTCGACATAAAGTTTCTAAAGGCTGATCTCTGTTCAATTCTACGAGGGTGATCTAATTAACTATACATATCAAGCAGAAAGAGCTTAGAAGACGATCCTTATAGGAGTTCTTTTGTATTGTACAAATGCATTAAGTCTGAGTTATTAGAGTAGTACTACTATAACCCTAGTTATGATATTAAGTCCCGAAAATTAAAAAAATCTCTCTCATCATCCCTGTACTCACATTTGTATTATATCTTCTAAAGATTTTCAATCTACTTCTATTTAGCCTCCATCAAATCCAAAATCCCTTATTTTTCCTTCCACTATCTTTGTTTTAACTAATCTTACAATATCTATGATTAGTTTCTAATTATCTTCAAGTATTCATGTAGCAACAATATCTTTTGAGTGAACTTCTCTTGCAAATGGGTCAGAAGCTATCGCTTTTTCAACAATAAGCTACTGATTTCTTTTACCTTTGCCATTTACTTTTCATAGATAAGTTTCTTAAGTAACTCTGCATACTACTCTTTTCTTATACTGTATTGTTTATCCTCAAGTGACTTCTTGAATTTAATGCTAAAGGAGTTAATGAGCCTTATGAAACTGGACAAGGTGCCATCATAACCTGAGTTTTATCTCAGCATTTCTACTTAATGCTAATTTTCAGTCTCCTTAATGTACTTCAGATGCTGAGCCAGTCCAAATTTCT